ATTGGTCTGAACATCTGTCATTATACAGTGCCATGCAGTTTTGACCACTGTGGCTGTATAATATGTGCTAAAGTCAGGTAAAGCAAGCCCTCCCACTCTGTCCTTTTTGGGGAATTCTCTGCTAATTTTGGGCTTCTTCTCTCTCCATATGAAGTTATCAGTTTTCCCAATTCCTTCAAGAAAGATGATGATATTTGTATCAGGATAGCATTAAACTTATATGATGCCTTGGGCAGAATTCACATCTTTACTATATTGAGTCTTCTGATCCACGAGCATGGGATATTCTTCCATTTGTTGATGTCACTCTTGGTTTCTTGTAATAGTGTTCTGTAGTTTTCCTCATACAAATCTTTTTTTTTTTAAGTCACGTGTATCCCTAGATATTTCAATTTGTGCTTTGCTATTGTGAAGGGTACTACCTTTATGATTCCGTCTTCTGTGGTCTTGGCCAATGTGTATAGCAGTCTGATAGACTTCTCTGTGTTGATCTTGTATCCTGCCACTGTTCCATATTCCTCAATTGCTCAATTCCTCAATTCCACTCTTCCATATTCCTCAATTGTAATCCCCTTGTGGAGCTTTTGGGATTTTCCATATATAAAATTATATCATCTGTGAATAAGGATTGTCTCACCTTTTCCTTCTCCAGGTGAACACTTTGATGTCTTTTCTTTGCCTTATGCTATTAGTTAGGACCTCCAGAATGATGTTAAATAAGAGTGGGAATAAGGGGTATCTTTGTCTGGTCCCCTTTTCCCGTGGGATTGTTTTCGCCTTTTCTCCATTAACTACCACATTGGCTGATGGTTTTTCATATATAGCTTGCATAATATTGAGGAATTGTCCTTCCATTCCTATCTTCTTGAGTGTCTTAAACAGGAATGGGTGTTGGATGTTGTCGAATGCTTTTTCCGCATCTCTCGATATTGTCATGTGGTTCTTCTAGTTTCATGTTAATGTGGCAAATAATTCTAATGGTCTTTCCTATGTTGAGTACAGTGTTTATTTTCTGTGAATATTGATTTTGGATATTTTCCATTTGCTCATGAGTTTTTCTAGTTCAACAATCTTCTGCCATGTTTAATTTTCTATTGAAATCAGCAGATGAATTCTTAATTGATGTCCGTGTAAGGTGGAGAGACATGTAATCATTTGCTCAGGAATTTTCAGACAATTAAGAGTAAGAATTAGTCTCTGAGAAGTTTTCAGACTGGACTTGATATGGTATAACTGTATTGTTGCTAAACACTGTGCGACCACCGTGTCAGCTGAGAGAAATTAAGAATTTACTTGATTTTTAAAAAATGAGCTGTAATTTTTGGTGCTACCCTATAGGGCAAGGTAGAATTGCCCCCTGTGAGTTTCCAAGACTGCAACTCTTTATGAGAGTAATAAGCCCCATCTTTCTCTTGTAGAGCAATTGGTGGTTTTGAATGGTCTACGTTGCAAGTATCAGCCAACCTATAGCCACTATATATGATGTCTCAAATGACATTGAGTTTGCCTTTTTGAAATGTTTGTGGAATTTTCCATATTTTTCTCTACAGAAAGGATGCTTTAATTTTAGTAAAACATATTAGTGAAATTCTGACATTCATAGAGAAGGGAAATTGCCCAGTTATCTTGACTGCTGTTTTGTGCCAGTGAATCAGCTCCGATTCATAGCAACATATAAAACTGACTTTAATAAATTTTGTTGATTGCTTCCATTCAAACTTTCTGAAAATAAGGACTAGAACGAACTCTCTTGATAAAGTCTATTGAGTTAAAATCCACAACAAGAATCAAACGAAATAGAAAATCTAGATATATTACATGTAAGATTAAAGATAAAGTAAGAATTTCTAATTATACACACTATCATTCAATAATGTAGTACTAACTCCCCTGGTTAAGACATAGATTTTGACAAAGAGCATAACTAATAAGATTAAGGAGAGTTTAAAGATCATTATGCTCAGATGATACAAACTACATAGGTCACATAGTTGATTAATGCATCATGTTAAATATTCTGCATCTTTATGAAGACCCAGAAGGAAAGACAAATGTGAACATTAGAAATGTCCGTGTAAGGTGGAGAGACATGTAATCATTTGCTCAGGAATTTTCAGACAATTAAGAGTAAGAATTAATCTCTGAGAAGTTTTCAGACTGGACTTGGTATCGTATAACTGTATTGTTGCTAAACACTGCGTGACCACCGTGTCAGCTGAGAGAAGAGAGGATGAATATGAGCATTTCAGAGGGCACGTACTTTTTCATGGCATGTATTGGATAAATCATTCACATTGCGCCGACTTCTTATGAAAATCTCAAAAGTGTAGTCACACTTTACATCATGATGAGATAGAGGATCAGAAAACTTAAATAATTTTCTCAAGTCGGCACAGCAAGTGAGTAGTGTAGTCAGAATTAACATCCAAGCCTGTCGACCTCCACAGCTGATAATGTAACTTGGGTGTCATTTATGTGAATGAAATTCTCTTATAGGCTTCATGATGTGGAGGCTTTCTGAGCAGAACCAAAGCTGGGTTTCTGAATTTATCCTGCTTGGCTTCTCCAGTGACCCCATCTCCAACAGGATCCTCTTTGTTGCCTTCCTTGTCCTGTACCTGAGTTCGATCCTGGGCAATGGGCTCATTGTCACTCTGATCTGCCTGGACTCACATCTCCACACTCCCATGTACTTCTTCCTCTGTATTCTGGCCATACTGGACGTGGGCTATGTCACCACCACCATGCCTCAGATGCTGGTGCACCTTCTTGCTCACTCTCAGACCATCTCTTTTGCTTGCTGTTGGCTGCAGATGTATGCATTTGGCGCCCTGGCCTTGACTGAGTGCATAATCTTTGTGGTCATGGCCTATGACCGATATGTAGCCATTTGCTATCCATTGCGCTACACTGTTATCCTCAGCTGGGGAATGTGCACACGACTGGCAGCTGGGACCTGTGTCTGTGGTTTCTTCTTCTCCCTAATTCACACCTTCCTCACAATGAGATTGCCCTACTGTGGGCCCAACATCGTCAACCACTACTTCTGTGAAGGCCCCACAGTACGGAGCTTGGCTTGCATGGATACCCATCTCATCGAGATGGTGGACCTGATCACGAGTGTGTTTGTGAATGTCACCCCAAGCTGCCTTATTCTGGCCTCTTATATCCGTATTGTCCAGGCCATTCTCAAGATCAAATCTACCAGGAGCCGTTGCAAGGCCTTCTCCACCTGTGCTTCCCACCTAACTGTGGCCACATTCTTCTATGTTCCGGCTATATACATCTACCTTAGGCCCAACTCCAGCTACTCCCCTGAACGTGACAAGCAATTTGCACTCTTCTATAATGTTTTCACGGCACTGCTCAATCCTGTTGTCTACAGTCTGAGGAACAACGACATCAAGGGAGCTTTTTTCAAAGTGATGGGGCGTGGTAGGGGGACCTGTTGAACTGGGATGGACAAGAGGGCTTTGTTAGAATGTTTAATGCTTAGGAAAAGATCAATATCTGTTTTCTTTTCTTTTTTTTTTTTTTTACCAGCCATGGAATAAGTCTCAGTTCTATTTCCCTCAGTGCTAGTATCCCACATTTACCCTTTCTGCATTATGCTTAAGATTTAATAGTGTCACGGAGGCAATATGGTCTCTCTTCATATATCTTAGCTTCCTATAGAAGCGACACAAGATTGCAGGCATCAAAATTATGATGAGAAGTAACACAGTCAGACTGGAACTTAAGCTATATGAAATGCTTTTAACCCAAGCACGTGGGATCCACCCTCTTTCTATGCCATCCACCATTAGTTTAAATACCTCAGCTAGTGAAATGCCTTCAATCCACCCTTGAATGTATAGAAAATATCCTTCTTAAGCCGATCAACATCTAATGAAATGCTTCCCTCAAACTCTTGTTTTCTAATCAAATCCCAATCATGCAATGTTACATTATATAGGTAAGGAGTTACCCAGAAATCAGTTATATTCCAATCACATTATAGCATTGCCAAGTCCAAAAGCTTGATCTTTCAGCAAAAGAACAGTCTGTAGTAATAGTCCAGTCACTATTGTATAAAATGTTCAGCTTTGATAGAGTCCCAGAGTGTCCCTTAGACATCATCTGCAATGGAAGAAATATCTCAGCAGTCATGGATCGCCATTCTCAGGAATCTGCGATGTCTTCTTGACGTTTTGGATAGCTTCAGTAACAGGACAGGGTCAGTTCTTGCATCAGCTTCCCTCCTTTCTTCTGGGCTTTGCTGGCTGAAGAGAAATCCCTCTATCTCCTTTGCCTGTGAAAATATAAGCAAATAGCCCCTCTCTTTGGGATGTCATTAACCTGAAAAAGGAATTATGATTAGGCTTTTGTGGTTCCTTCATGTCCATCTTTCTCTGAATATGGTTGCATTCTTCTAAGGGGAGTCCATCAGCTTTATTCCGCAAAATCATAAATGCATAGCCTTTTCTCCTGGTGACAAGTGGACCTGGATCCCAAACGCGATTTCCATCTTCTTGGGACTCCTTAGGATCAGCTTTTTCTGTGGAAGTGAAAATGTGTTTATCTGCCCCAATTTTGTTACAAGCTTTTAGTAAAGAGAAATTTTTTTTGGTTCAACTGACTAAATGAACTTTGTCACGCATAAGATTTTTCTTTTCCCCCTTCTGTTTTAACAGTGCAGATGTTAAAGCATTGCTCACAATCTCAGTTAACTTGCTAGGTTTAGAACCAGCAATACTACTAGTTAGATAACCTTCATTGTCATGTAAATATCGGCTCCCAGCTCTCAGAGAATCCAGAGAGCTAACATGTAAATTTCAGCTCCCAGCTTTCAGAGAATTAAGAGAGCTAATTGGGAGAACTTTTTACCAGACTTTGAAAGACTGAGAAAATTCTTAATCAATCCGTTCATTTGTTCTTGAAGTAACTTACCAGACAGATATTTTCCCTCCAAGTTTACCCATAAGGTTGCAGGTTCAATTAAGGCATATTGCTCTTTAGGCCTCTTATATTGTATGATTTTACAACCTTGCAATTTTCTGTCTCGATTGACTTCACTCATTCCTTTCATGCTAGATTTAGAGGAAGTTAGTGGGTGGGTCTTGGGCCCTTGTGAATACCCTAAGGACATGACCCCATATCCAGAGCTTAAAAACCTTTTCCCTTCAATTTCTAATTCCATGTGGGGGTGCTGTTGTTTCCCCACCTCAGCATTCCAAAAGACCCCTTGGTTTAAAGGGTGGTCAGACTTCTCAAGTACTCTTTCCTGATAGTTATAAATTTTTACTCTAGAAATGCAAGGAAGCAAAAATTGGCTTAAGCAATCTTCCTTTTTTATAAACCATGGTATATCAGAATTTATCGCTGCCTTCATTCCTTCTTAATAATCCTGATCAATAACTCTATCAACACCTTGAGAATTTAGGTTGGACTTTCCTAATAAACATCCTATAGTTCTTTTAGGTAGCGGACCCCAATTACCGCTCTTAATAATGTCTGACTCAATCACAGCTCTTGGCTTTTCCTCACAACTCTGATCAACTCTAGTATCAATTTTATTTCCTTGAGCACTTAGGTTAAAACTTCCTAATAAAAACTGTATTACTCTTCAAAAGGGGGCTCCTGTTTTTTGGAATCAGCAGGCTGCTGCAAGGACTTCTGAGCCATTTCTTCGTTAGTCAAGCATATGGCAGCCAGAACAGGGGCTGGGGTTTTGCGAGTTGGGTTAGGTCTGCTGTGAGATTGGGGGATACCTCCAGTTTCTCTCCAAGATCTTCTTTGCTGTGGCTGGCAGCTACCTTGCCTCCCACCCTTTGCTGGCCTGGGTCTGTATCAGGCCCCTTCCCTGTTTTCCCACCTGGAGGTCTTTGCTAATGGCAATACTTCACTGTTGAATCTTGAGCGACATTGACTCACCCAATGAGTTCCCTTCCTGCAGCAGGAGCAGAGTTCAGGGTCTTTCAAACCCGATTTTGATGGCCCTGGATCATGTTCAAACACAGGTTGCATCTTGCTCTCTGTGGCCAGGCTGATTGTCCAGCGCTGCCTACACTCTCTTTGAATATGACCTGTCTTCCCACAACTAAAGCACTTTCTTCTAGGTCTGATATAATTTGCCAACGCAGCTGCCATGAGGTTGGCTTTGTGTTCCTCTGTCTCCTCATTCCTGCATATTCTGAGATAATCTAACAGTGTGCCCTGTTCCCTGTAGGGATGCAGGGCTTTTGTACAGAGTTCATTAGAGAAATCATAAGATAGCTTATGCAGTAGGTCTCTTATTGCCTGCACATTTTTTACACACTTGGAAATAGAATTTTCCAATCGGGACACAAAGGCAGCATAGGATTCGTCATTCCGCTGTCTTATAGCCATGTAACTTGGCTTTCTCTTTTCTGATGGAATGATCTTTCCCCAGGCCCTTAAGCAAACTTCATGTATCTATCCTATTGTCTGTTCAGTAAACGGTAGTTGGGACTCAATTGTAATATAACTCTCATCCCCATGTCTCCATGGGAATATTCTCCCCATCTCTGTGTGCTTTCTTTAAGTTTACAATGACCTCCTCCCAGGTCTCTATGCTTAAAGTTTCTTCCTTTGGGAACCATGGATTGTACCTTTTTGCTACTTTTAGAAAACATTGCATCCTTTGATTTGCTACTTTTACACCCTGTCTTTTCAGTAAGTGGATGAGCTTAGTACCATAAGTTTCAGGTTTACTTTTAGCTTGCCCCATTGTCCTCTTTAAAATACTCACTCACTATTTCCACTACTTATCTGCCAATCCCCACACTGGATCCTCACTAAACACAATTTTCTGATTCACTCTACATTCCGGTGGGGCCGTACAATTGTTACATGGGGTATAACTCATATTGCCCCACGTTGGGTGCCATTTGTGGTTGGAATGGGGAGTCAGCCCCCCACCACTAATCATGGGTTCAGTAAGCACAATTGTATGGTTGAGATATAGAAATACTATATTAAAGTCATAGAGAGCATGAGAGATAGAAGAGAGAGTCTAATAATGGAGAGTCAAATACATGGTAGCATGCTCACTTCCTGAATGGCCATGATCTTACAAGCCATGTCCATGCACAGTGTGGGCCGAGGCGAGATGGGTCAGGGACCCGGCAGGATGCTGGAGGTCCAGGCAGAAGGCTGGAGGACTCTGTTTATTGCTAACCAAGGGTTATATCTAGTTAGTGGGACATGATTACAGATAACCACATGTCACAGGAAGCAGCAGTACCATAAGCATACACATTATCAATATGTAATGTTTTCAACAAACATTGTACCTTCGAATATTGTACACTCTTTCAACATGTCTAATGGAGCCATTGTAGGACATGGAAGCAACATGGCTACATTGATCACTTGCTCTATGGTGGTGTAATAACAAGCAACTTCTTCATCTCAGTGGCTTCCAACAGCCGTTTCATGTATTCTTGTTCCAAGTAAGTTGGAAGTTGACTATACACCTTACTTAATCTTGGCTTGAGGTTGAAGAAAGTGCCCTACTTGAAACATTCAATTCTTGTGACAGAAGATAAGAAAATAAAGTTAAATCAATGATTATTTCAGTTTCTGCCCTTAAAGTGACACACATCCCTTTCTCAAAACAAGTCATGTAGTCAGATCTGATGGATATATAATCATTCTACACTGAGAACAGAAAATTATAGCTTAACAATTCAATTATTAACAATGGAGCAGTCACCAATGGAGTATATGGAAATGACATGAAACATGATAAACTTTCATGTGGAATAGTATGTGTGTTAAGCTGGTTTGTCCAGAGAAACAAATTCAGTGACACTCATGTATGTATAAAAAAAAAGTTCATTATATCAAGAAGCAATTATATAACAAGAAAGCATCCCATTCTAGTCCAACTCAAGTCCCTGAGGTCAATACTAGTCCATAAGTCCTTCTTCAGACTCCTGCAGTCACATGCAATAATTCAGAACATAGGAAAATCACAGGCTGGTGAATGCAGTATTCTGTGGATCCAAGGCAGGTGGAAACATGGTAAGAGTTTGGCAGTTCTCAGCCAGCAAGCAGAAAGTTGAAAATGAGATAGGGTTCTCCTTATGAGCAGACCAAGCTTCCAAGGGACCTGATGCTGGGACCTGATTGAAAGGTCTGAACTTTCCCCTAGTCCGGAATGTCTAGTTGACCAAAGTATGATAATAGAAAACATTAAAAGGCTAAGGTGTTATATGCAGTTAGAATGGGGCATTTAAGCATCAAATATCTGTAGTCAACTCTGAAAAGTAATCACATGAAATGTGGAACCACTACAGTTCATGAAGGAGTTCTGGCAGTGTGGTGGGTTAGGCTCGCTAACTTCAGAGTCAGCAGTTCAAAATCACAAGTCACTTATTGGGAGAAAGGTGAGTCTTTCTACTGCCACCAATTCAGATTTACAGTCTCCAAAAACCCACAGGGGAGT